ACATGAGGAGGTAAGTTATCTGATAAAAGCAGAATTTAATAGGATTTGGTTAGAAACATGAGATGCTCCTTGTAGTATGTAGTAGGTCAATGGCAGGTTCCTCTGTGACCATAAGAGGGCGCTATCTGCCATCACCTAATCTCGGACATTCCCCCATCTCCTTGGGGTCTCATTATAAAAGCTGTAGCCCGGTAATCCGTCATTACTTTCATTAGAAATAATTCGATCTCGCCAATTCTTAGAGCTGCTCTGGGCAATCCTCGTTTGGTTTTGCACCATAATTCATCAAAAAAACAATCGCCCAACAATATCCACAATGTAGAAAGCCTTTCTGTCCTTTCGCGGAGATAATTCTGTCTGCATTTTCTTCAATTTGTCCGTTTTTCACCATTTGCGATTTTTATAAATCCGAGAAAAGGCGAAAGTTGGCGGTATAACAAGCCAAGAGCGACGCGATGGAAAGCAATGCACACAGATAATCCCTTCAGAGTGTCACATGATCTGCTGCTCTGCGATAGCCTGACAATTCCGGTGTTGTCATGTGACATACCCATCGCCTGCATGGGCCCATCCGGGGGCTGTAGTTTAGGAACCGCGGGGATCAAGGCAAACAGTACCGGCACTCTGGTGTACACAGTAAAAAGTTAAAATGTAATCATCACATTTTGGGCAAAGACATATTGAGAATCACAATCAGAACATAGATCTTGTAGTTCCACCACAGCTGGATGGCCGAGGTTGCCTACTCCTGCTCTCCTCTGAAATTGGCTTTAGTCCCAATTTAACCAGAAACAGGCCTTTACATTTCATTTTCTAACTTGGGCACATTTTGTGATCAGTAAGGCACAAGAAAACGGTCCTATAAGTTTCTCCTCTAACTTTTTGCTGCCCACAGTGGAGTGCCGGTGACCTCTGATGGCCCGCTCCTTCACATGAAACTCTCTACCACTTTGTGTTTACAGTAGTTGCATTTCCCTGAATGAAAACCCACTCCGGTCACCTCCAGGTCGAATTTACACGAGCCTCCTGAAGTGCCGTCCGACCTCTTCAAGGGCACGGCAGCCGTGGAGATGCGGAAGGACCCAGTGCCCAGCGAGGTTGCGTCTGCATCCTTTCCCTGAGTGGCGCACCTACAGACGCGTCTTATTTCCCGGCGGAAGTGGATGGTGAAGAGGCCGTAGATGATGGGGTCCAGGCACGTGTTGAAAAGGCCGAAGAGGAAGAGAATGTGGCTGAGGGATGGAGGAACCTTTCGACTAGTCAGCATCTCCGGGGAGAACCAGTACCAGATCCCCAGGAGGTAGTACGGAGTCCAGCACACGATGAATGTCAAGACAATGACCAGCGACATCTTGAAAGTCCTCATCCGCGCTCGTGGGATGTTGTTGTAGGAACGTCGGAGGTTGACTTCTTTGGAGGAAGCTAGAAGAAAGAACAACCGGGAAGTCAGTTGGGTTTGACCAACTGGTCATTCGTGAAAGAGCAACTCCTACTGAGGGGAGAGAAGCCACTTTAGAAAACATGAGGAGGTAAGTTATCTGATAAAAGCAGAATTTAATAGGATTTGGTTAGAAACATGAGATGCTCCTTGTAGTATGTAGTAGGTCAATGGCAGGTTCCTCTGTGACCATAAGAGGGCGCTATCTGCCATCACCTAATCTCGGACATTCCCCCATCTCCTTGGGGTCTCATTATAAAAGCTGTAGCCCGGTAATCCGTCATTACTTTCATTAGAAATAATTCGATCTCGCCAATTCTTAGAGCTGCTCTGGGCAATCCTCGTTTGGTTTTGCACCATAATTCATCAAAAAAACAATCGCCCAACAATATCCACAATGTAGAAAGCCTTTCTGTCCTTTCGCGGAGATAATTCTGTCTGCATTTTCTTCAATTTGTCCGTTTTTCACCATTTGCGATTTTTATAAATCCGAGAAAAGGCGAAAGTTGGCGGTATAACAAGCCAAGAGCGACGCGATGGAAAGCAATGCACACAGATAATCCCTTCAGAGTGTCACATGATCTGCTGCTCTGCGATAGCCTGACAATTCCGGTGTTGTCATGTGACATACCCATCGCCTGCATGGGCCCATCCGGGGGCTGTAGTTTAGGAACCGCGGGGATCAAGGCAAACAGTACCGGCACTCTGGTGTACACAGTAAAAAGTTAAAATGTAATCATCACATTTTGGGCAAAGACATATTGAGAATCACAATCAGAACATAGATCTTGTAGTTCCACCACAGCTGGATGGCCGAGGTTGCCTACTCCTGCTCTCCTCTGAAATTGGCTTTAGTCCCAATTTAACCAGAAACAGGCCTTTACATTTCATTTTCTAACTTGGGCACATTTTGTGATCAGTAAGGCACAAGAAAACGGTCCTATAAGTTTCTCCTCTAACTTTTTGCTGCCCACAGTGGAGTGCCGGTGACCTCTGATGGCCCGCTCCTTCACATGAAACTCTCTACCACTTTGTGTTTACAGTAGTTGCATTTCCCTGAATGAAAACCCACTCCGGTCACCTCCAGGTCGAATTTACACGAGCCTCCTGAAGTGCCGTCCGACCTCTTCAAGGGCACGGCAGCCGTGGAGATGCGGAAGGACCCAGTGCCCAGCGAGGTTGCGTCTGCATCCTTTCCCTGAGTGGCGCACCTACAGACGCGTCTTATTTCCCGGCGGAAGTGGATGGTGAAGAGGCCGTAGATGATGGGGTCCAGGCACGTGTTGAAAAGGCCGAAGAGGAAGAGAATGTGGCTGAGGGATGGAGGAACCTTTCGACTAGTCAGCATCTCCGGGGAGAACCAGTACCAGATCCCCAGGAGGTAGTACGGAGTCCAGCACACGATGAATGTCAAGACAATGACCAGCGACATCTTGAAAGTCCTCATCCGCGCTCGTGGGATGTTGTTGTAGGAACGTCGGAGGTTGACTTCTTTGGAGGAAGCTAGAAGAAAGAACAACCGGGAAGTCAGTTGGGTTTGACCAACTGGTCATTCGTGAAAGAGCAACTCCTACTGAGGGGAGAGAAGCCACCAAAGTCTGACTTGCCTGATAATTACCCAACTAATTGGTACAGTTTCTTGATTTCAGTCAGTTTAGAAGACACAAAACAGCCAATCTACATCATCATGGTGCAAAATATCATTACTATTGGCTGTCAGTGATAACATGACAACCTCATACCTCCATTTCATATTACTACTGGCTGTAAGTGATAACATGGCATCCTCACCCCACTGCTTCCATTACTATGGGCTAAGAATGATCACATGACATTCTTACACCACCTGCTTTCAATACTATTGGCTATCAGTGCTCACATGACATTACCACAGCTCTATCTCTTATTACTACTGGCCATAAGTGATCACATGACATCCTCCCACTGCCGACTTTTATTACTATGGGCTATGATTGATCACAAGACATAACCGTACTGACAGCTTTCATTAATATTGGCTGTCAATGATCATGTGACGTCTTAGCACGCACCATCAGATTTAATTTTATTACTATTGGCTATCAACGATCACATGACATCCCCAGGCCAATGGGTGTTACCAGACTGGCTCTAACGGATCATGTGCCATTCGACCAGGGTGGTAGAACCAAGTGTCACAGCCAGAGGTGCCCAACTGCCCTAACCTTTAGTCTTCTTCATCTTGCGGGAGATCTCCAACAGGATTCGTGTGTAGCAAAAGACCATGATGAGGAGCGGGAGGAGGAAGAGGCAGCAGAAGGTGAACATGTTGTACAGGGTCTCCAGCCAGTGGACCCCGAAGCTGCCCACCGTGGCACACTGGACGAAGTAGACCGGATACGACCGGCTCACCGTGTGGAACACGAACAGCTGCTGAAGAAAAAAACACTTACACAGAGTCACCGAAAAACATATAAAGCTTTAAAAACGGCAAGTGCCCAAATACTCAAATATGGGAACTTTTTCTTCTGCCAAAGGTGGTGTACAATGATGAATGCCCTTTGTGACCCTTCCTTACCCATGTTGTGCTGTGTAAGGGGGTGATAACGCCTTTCAATGCCTGCAGTTCTGCAGAGTATGTACCATTGTCCTACCCAGGCACCCACCATGTTCCATCTCGCTGTTAGTGTTAGGGATTAGGGTTAGGGTGTCCCTACAGGGCAAAGGAACAGGTCTACTTTAATGGTGGCTCCACCAGCAGCACACTCTCACTTTGTCTTTACACTTCCAATGCTCTGCTCAGCCATAGGGAGTGAATAAAATCTCCAGAACATTCAGGTATGGGAGAGTAAGTGACCCCTTCATTCCACATGATAATGCTGGGGCTGGCCAACTGGCCTAGTGCTGCCACATGGGAGCAGGAAGATGGTCCTCTTCCCTGTGGAACCTCCTCCAAGCTACAAGGCACAGGTAATTCTATTCACTCCCAGAAGCCCAATAGAACGGTGAGGGTGGAGTGCTAGTAAAGTGAACCTGTTTGATATGCACTTAATGGGGAAGGCACAGATTTACTTTAAGGTTGGGGTTGGCCTATAAAAACTAAAACGTTGTGCCTGGCCTTAGCCTAAAAGTTGGGGAGTCTTTAGAGTATGGTGCCCTCAGTCTGGCATTGAATGAGATCTACCTGGGGAGTAGACAAGATTAAACTTAGTGCCCAGGCAACAGACAACATTGTCTTGTTTTTCTTTTTCGCATCTCCTATGCCCAACGGGTTCAATATGGCAGCATGCCGGTCAAGGCTGATCACCACGGTAACAAAGGCTGAAGAATACATGGCAACCAACTTGAGGAACATAAGGATCCTGCAGGCCACATCGCCGGCATACCACTGGATGGTGACATTCCACACTGCGTCCAGAGGCATGACCACAAAGGTGATCAGCAAATCGGCTGCCACCAGGTTCATGATGAGGATGCGGATGTGTGATTTCTTCCGGTACTTATGGGTGATGGTCCACAAAGTGGCCACATTAAAGCAGGCAGAGGAAATGAAGAGGACGCAGGTGATGGCCACCCGGATCTTGGCAGCGGTGGAGAAGGTGGGAAGGACAAATTGGTCTTCATTAAGGAAAGTTATATTGGGTCCGTGTGGTTGCTCAAACCCGTTGTCATGGACACAGCTGAGGTTGAAGCCTTTAAACGGGCAGAGACCCGGGGGATCGGCCTCGCCATCTCTCCTTGGTTGGTCACTGCCATTCATCTTGAGTTAGTCAGTGAACGCTTATCAAGTATGTCCCAATTGGCAGAAGATGTGATCATTGTGAATGCCAGATCCATGCCATGACTTGTAATGGAGAGGTTAGAGGTCCCTCAGAGGTTCTATGACTCTACAAAGCATCTTAGAAAGGACTCGGTAATGGTACTTTGGTAATGGGAGAATATTGTAGTCCATAGATATATTTCCCTTCCTCTCTGAGGTCATCTTAGGTGTCTCTGAGATTCCCCAGTCCTGGAGGATACGAGTGCCACATCAGTTGTCACCTCCGAAACCAAAACTTTATCCAGTTGATTCCAGTAAGGAAGTCCACCAACTCTTCAGCAGGGGTTTCCTCCTCGAACATCCTCTCAAGGACAGCCGGAGATAATCCCCAACATGTTCAGGAGAATACGATCACAATGAGGGTCTGCAGGTTGCTCAGCTCCTGGATTTTCCTGGTGGGGTGACTGAGGACCTCTGTTTCCAGCGATTACTTCTGAAAAGAACCAAACACAGTGTTAGTACATAATCATGGAACCTGCGCTGCCAACTTTGCAGAAGGTAGATCAGGTGGGAGCAATATGCTGCAGATCTGTAGAGAGGTCAGTGAAGGAATAATCTGCAGAATATATCAATATGTATCTGTCAGGAGGGAGATGGGACAGAGCAATGGTCTGCAGATCTGTAGAGAGGTCAGTGAAGGAATAATCTGCAGAATATATCAATATGTATCTGTCAGGAGGGAGATGGGACAGAGCAATGTTCTGCAGATCTCTGGAGGGGTCAGTGATGGAATAATCTGCAGAATATATCAATATATATATGTCAGGAGGGAGATGGGACGGAGCAATGTTCTGCAGATCTCTAGAAGGGTAAATGGTGGAATAATCTGCAGAATATATCAATATGTATCTGTCAGGAGGGAGATGGGACGGAGCAATGTTCTCAGATCTCTAGAGGGGTCAGTGATGGAATAATCTGCAGAATATATCAATATATATATGTCAGGAGGGAGATGGGACGGAGCAATGTTCTGCAGATCTCTAGAAGGGTAAATGGTGGAATAATCTGCAGAATATATCAATATGTATCTGTCAGGAGGGAGATGGGACGGAGCAATGTTCTGCAGATCTCTAGAGAGGTCAGTGATGGAATATTCTGCAGAATATATCAATATGTATCTCTTAGGGGGGAGATGGGGCGGAGCAATGTTCTGCAGATATCTAGATGGGTCAGTGATGGGTTAATGTTTATATCTCAGGGAGATCCGGTTAATTCTGCTGTTACAGGATCGATCCCTCTTGTGAATTTGGTCCGCTGATCATTTATTTATGGAGTAATGGAGTGTTCATGGTGTGTATGTGTGTGTATGTGTGTGTGTGTGTGTGTGGGGGGGGGGGGGGGGCGTTTTTTTTTTTTTTTTTTTTT